AGGGGCTTACTCGTGTGGGGGGGGGGAGGGTACTGATGTCGACGCATGCCGTAGTCGTTAGACGATCAACCTCGCAGCCCGGGGCGGAGCGATTTGCCGGAGGACGGCCCGGGCTACGTGCCCCAAGGAACTAACCAAACGCTGGTCAACACTGTTGCGTTTTGCTGTGCCAAATTGGATATGACACGGGTTGACAAGGTACCCCGGTTAACCAAAGAACGTGCGGGGGGGCCGTGGTGGTTGTCGCGGAACAGTGCGTGGTCATGGATGAGGGGGTGGATGGTTGTGCCTTCCCTCACCTTAGTGTCGATGAATATCAAGCTAGCTTTCGGCCCCTTCGAATAGCATAGTAGACTTCTGCCTCCACTAGTCCTCGTAGTTTCCTCTTTGAGGTTCCATCGAAACATGTCGATGACTGAAGCCCGCTCGCGTCAGAAGAAATTACTGGCGTTGATACCCTGGCCCCTTTCCCGGGTACTCCTGCGAACCTATTCTCGCCATTCTTGGTAGTGCCGGTTTGTTCCGCCGCCCCCACACCTTCTCGGTCCTGTGGGGAAAACGCTCCGATCTCTCGAGGCCGCGTGGGCAATGGTCTAACCGCTAAGGCATGCAAAACATAAGAGTACGCCCCCCCCCCCCCACCCCCCCCTTGCAAAACATGAGTATCCTCCCTGCCCCACAATAACGAAAACAGGCGAGCAAGGCGCTGTCCTTGGAGCGCGACCTCATTTCAGCCACGGGTCGGCTCGAGGCCGCTGAGGCCGCAAGAGCCGACGCCGAGGGCAGTCGCCGCGAGAACGCCTCCGCCCTGGCCGAGCTGGCGGAGCTGGCCTTCAACGCGCTTCCGCCGCCGGCGGCCCCGCCGCGAGCGCCGGCGGTAGAAGGACGGGCTTCTTCTGCTGCTGCTGCTGCCGCCGCGTTCGAAGGATGCGGTCGAATTGGCGATGCGAGGAGTGCCGCGGTAGCCGGGCTTGCGGGCTTGGAAGGCGGGGTACGGCAACGGGGGGAGGGGCCGCGCGCGGAGGTCGACGGCGGCGACGGTGACGGAGAGAGGAAGACCAGGCGAAAGGACGTGGAGGAGGAGGGCGGCGGCGGCGGCGGCGGCCGTGTGGAGGCAGGGCGGTGTTCGGACGGGGTGGCGAGGGCGGCCAGGGCGGTAAGGGCCCTCGCCGAAGCTGGTATGGCGGCGGCGGCGGACAGGGATCATGCCACGAAGAAGGTTTGTTTCGTGTTTTTGTGCGCGCGCGGGGGGGTGGTAGCGCCGGGACGTTCTTTGGTCGTGTGTATGTGTGTACAGAGGAAGGATGGGGGCGAAAACGGTGTTTGTTTTTTGTCTCTTGCTTGATTGGAGGAAACGCCCGTCTGCTGTCGACGCTGAAGGTGACGGGTGAGACTTTTTTCGGTACGCACAATACTCAGCTACGGAGACGTTTCATCCGGCGTTGCGGGGATTCCGTTCGTCCGGCGTTTTCACGGGCCTGCCATGATCTGTAGCTTGCTTGCGCTCTCTGCCGCCTCCTCAGCTTAAAGCCATGAATGTGTGTTTTGTCTTTTGTCCTGCTTGCCTGCTGCCAGCTGGTTGACGCCCGGGGGGAGCTCCGGTCGGCTCTTGATCGTTTAGAGGCGTCGCAGCGGGAGGGCACGCGAGTGCGGAGGGCTTTGGAGGACGCCTGTGCCGCTCGCTCCGCGCTGTTGCCAAGACTTCGGGACACGCAGGTATTGTTGTTGTTGTTGCTGTTGTTGCTGCTGTTACTGGCTGCTGTTGTCATCGCTGTTGTCGCCAAGACTCACATGTAGCATCTACCTTGCTTTCCGTCACTATTCGAGTTGCCGGACGTGACGAACGCCCTCCTCGCCGCCCCCTCCCCCCCTGGGGTCCTGTGGGTGGTAGGTACCTTATGGGTGTGTGTATGTGTTTTCGTCCTATGAATTATGGCGACATTCCCCCCTTTTTTCGTGGTGACACGTATACTACACTTTTCAGTGTACAGTCGACCCCGCTTTAAGGACGCTCGCGTTAAGGAAACTCCCCGCTTGAAGGAAAATTGTTTTGCTCAGCACCAGGGGGGCCGGCCGAGTATACGATAATGGGGTACCCCCATATTTTATGCCGCGTACCCCCCTATTTTGTGTCCAGCGGGCCTGCGGGCCGCTCTTTGCACGAACCACGCACCACAGTGAGCGCTAAAGTAGCGACGCACAGACAGCAGAAGTAGCGAGCGGTCTGCTGCTGCAGCTGCAACTGGATGTTGGTATGGATAGATTCCTCCCATCTACCGGCGGTCCACCTGATGCCGCCAAAAAAAAAGTCGTGCGTAACCTCGTCCCTCACTGAGGGCGAGGTTATCTCTCGCTTGGAGGACGTTCGATCCTACAGATAGCGCCCGCAGTTAAGAAAAGTGAAAATCGGATCGAGCCTCAATCCCTTTTTTTGGGTCGAAGTACCGGCCCAAGTCGTCCATTTTCGAAAATGGCATTTCTTCCTTTGGACTGTCGCATCCTCCCGTTTCTCTTATTCCTTCGACCACAACAAGTACTTTATTTTTTCTGTTTTGTGATCTCTGAGGACAATCCACATCATCAAGCCCTCAAGAGAGGTGACGAGTGCCATCACACCCGTACAACAGCGGAGAGCATATGGTTGTCCGCGATGTGTGGCAGTACTACAGTACAGCACTCGCTGTGAACAGCAGGGGCGAGGGTGGGAGGGACTGCCCCCTACAAAAAAATGCACTTCTGTTCAGCTTGGGAGGGGGTTTGGAGCACCGCATATTTCTGATGCCATGGGGGTATCGCACCATCACGTTTCTTATTGGGGCGTTTCTTACGTTGTGGCCGAGATTGAGCTATGTTTCTTAGCCCTTTTTTCTTATTTTTCGTACAAACTTGAGCCTTTTTTCTGAACAGAATTTTTCTCAACTGCGGGCGTATCTGTATTTGTACGCGAAGGGAAGGGGTGGCGAGTACCGTGAGACGCAGTACCTTCTTTCGAAGACCGTTCATTCGTTCACTCTTGAAACTCAACAGAGCCATAGAGCCAAGCCGCGGGGGGAGGTTCAGGGAACTCTTCGCTTTATATATTTGGAAGGAAAAGCCATCCAGGTAGCTTTTGGTCTCCGCCGGGACGGTGATATGTACTGGTGTTCCTCGGTGCGACTCTGGAGTACGCTCGTTTTTTTTTTTTTTCACAAAACATGAGATAAATATATGTCTACTTGGACTTTCCTCCTTCCGCTGCCAACTATGCAGTACATTAGTTGGCCAAGTACAAACTGGTGTGCTGTAGTTGTTTTCAACACGTCCCCGACTGCTGTAAATCTCATTTCAAGTATTGTAAATATGTTCAACGTCAACAAACGGTTGCCAGTCGTCTCGGCGATGCTGACTGTTGTACCACANAACGTTTTTTTCGGGAAAAGCCATGTGCGTCCTTAAAGCGGGGTGAACTGTATGAAGAGTACTACACTTTTCAGTGTATGAAGAGTCCTGCACTTTTCAGTCTGTTTTTTCGTACAACTACAACCATCCAGGGTCACACAGGATGGGATAAAAACCACGGCGTTTTTGTTCTTTTTGATTATTTTCTTTCCCCACCTTCCTCCTGCGGTGCGTGCTGAATATTTTTGATCGCGACAAGGGTACAGCCGTCCCTTTGCCTCGTCAACGGTGCTAACGTCGAAGTTTGGTACTCACGAGAGCTTTTCAGCTATATTTTCCTTTCACCAGCAAATTTTGCAAACTTTTCGCCCCATGGAAGCACGACCTTCGAGACTAGCGGTTTTCGAGGATACCACTAGACCGCCGGGGCAAACAGCTCCACAGGGTGAGTGCGTCATTTATTCATTCATCCTCGATGAAGCTCCCCCGGGGGTGTTAGCGGGCGGGGATTGCTCTCGCCTCTTGTACTTGTATCTCTTTAAAATCGAGCTCGATGCCAAGGGCGTTTCGTGCGTTTCATCTAGCACTTTTGCGAGAAGGATGTGAGTATGTCCTAAACGCTGAAGGCTTTTTCGGTCACTTGCTCTAAACCGTATGTTAACGATAACCGCGATTCGGCCTGCAGGTTTCGAGGGCAGCGGCGGAGGCGGCGGCGGACAGAGCTAGCGCGGAGCTGGCGGATATTCGCGGTTTCCTCGTGGAGCTGTCGGCACTGTTGGCGCGCAGGTGCTCACGTGTGTGTGTGCGTGCGTGCGTTTATCTGTATGTACATGTGTTTGTGGATGTGCTTTTCGTTAGCGTGCATCGAACGCGCCGACCGGCTGGCCCGAGGATCACAATACCGGTCTTGCCGAGAGAGAGAGAGAGAGAGAGAGAGAGAGAGAGAGAGAGAGNAGAGAAGAGAGAAGAAATGAAACACCATTGTTGTGTTTTTTATCGTTCTCCTGGTTGGCTTGCTTGACCTAAGCTTGCTCTATATGGCTTAATGGTATAGTATATTGCTTGCGTCTTGAATAGCATCCTTTTTGGCCGGTACTCAAAGGTGTTCAGGTTACGGGTGGGCGGGTGCGGCATTGGCTCGGGGAACCGGTTTGGCAAAGCTCCGTTCTGGCGTTGCTTTGTGCCCCTTTCACGAAAAGCTTTAAGTCAGCAGAAACGAAGAACGGTTTTCACGATCAGCCACGACGGGCAGGATTTTTTCAGCAACGAGCCGCCCCCCCTGTACCTTCCTCACACTAAAGTGTGTCTGCTGGGATCTTGACCCGCGGCGACGACCGGTTCACAGACCTTATTCGCGTCTGCGTCCGGTTGCGGAACATCCTTGCGTTCCCGATGAAATAGAGGTCGGAACGGCTTGCACTGTGAAGACAATAAAAACGACGACAAGAACGATAAAAAAGTACGACAAGAAACAATAGCAGTATCAAAAATCATAACAACAGCAACAACAACAACAACAACACTAAACGGTTTTGCAGCAACACGGAGACGTCTAGCGACGGGGAAACCTCCCCTGGTTGGAGCACCAACGGCAGCAGCACCATTCCGCCGTCGGCTAGCGATGCGGTAGGCGCTGGTGCTGGTGGTTGCGCGAAGGTCGTCGCCGCCATATCGGCGGGGGTGAAAGGCCTTCTGGCTGAGCGAACGGTAGCCGCCAGCGCCCTTCGTGAGCTGGTGAGCCCTTGTTGTTTTTGTTGTTTGGTAGCCGTCGGCGCCGGCGTATGTGACGTTTATCGGCGGCACAGAAACAACTACAAGCACGCGGACAGAGAGAGTTCGTGTGTAACGGCTGCTGCCGAAGAGCTCTCCGGTACGCAGCAGGAAGATTGGGGTGATGCGGGTGAATTGTTCAAGTGTATCCAGAGGGTGGACAAGGGCAAAGTCGCTGGGTGTACGTACACGAATGCTCGTTTGGTACCGTCATGCGACCATTTTTTCGCTTGCCCGGAACAGAGTTGAGCGAGAGGGTTAGAGCTGCGGTAGGCGTCAGGCAGACGAGAACCAAAAATGTAGGATACACCTGCCTAACAAAGGTTACCCTTGACGCTTGCGCGAGGGCTGGGGCATGTGAATCGCCCCCTGCCCCCTGGGCACGTCGACTTGATCAGCGGATCGGGGGGGGGGGCGATGGCATGGGGTATGACCATTCATGAAACCGAAAATGATCACCCTAGTCGAGATGTACGGCCATTCATGAAACTGAAGGTGATGACCCTTCTCGAGACTCGGCTCCTCTGGCTGAACTAGCACCTAGCAGTGCTTCGTGCCTCGTCTGCGAAGAACAAGATGACAAAGTCGCCTGCCTGGTCTGCTCTAGGCTATATCTGGTCTAGACCACAAATGCCCTGCCCGGTTGATGTTTGCGTCAGGCCGTGCGTGGCAGCGGAAGGGCACTGCCTGTTCCCCTTTCTGGTGATGTGCACCCCCCCACTCCTGGTGCGGGTCCCCCATCGACTTGCTTGTTTGGTAGGATAACCGCGTTTCGCAAGGAAAGCGAGAGGCGGAGGAGGCGAGCGCGGACGCTCGGGACCGCGACACGGCGCACAGGGAGCAGCTGGTGGAGTTGAGGAGCTGGTGCGAGTCGGAGGTGAGGACGGCAACAGCGAAAGAGAGAGACAGGGAGGGAGGGAGGGAGGGAGGGAGAGAGAGACAGGCAGAGAAAGACGCACACAGGGGGAAAGAGACAGACAGACAGAAAGACAGAAAGACAGGGAGGGAGGGAGGGAGGGGGAGAGAGACAGGCAGAGAAAGACGCACACAGGGGGAAAGAGACAGACAGACAGAAAGACAGAAAGACAGGGAGGGAGGGAGGGAGGGGGAGAGAGACAGGCAGAGAAAGACGCACACAGGGGGAAAGAGACAGACAGACAGAAAGACAGAAAGACAGGGAGGGAGGGAGGGAGGCAGGGACGCAGGGAGGCAGGCAGACAGGCAGACAGATAGGGGAGAGAGAGAGACAGCCAGAGATAGGGACACGCAGAAAGACAAGCAGGTAATCGACATCGTGGGCTTTACTCGTTGAGAGTGCTGCCGAGGGAGTTAACACGTCCTCGAGGCGTGTCAAAGCCTCACCTCGTAGGCATCCCTGTCGGAAGGATGCCCAAAGGGGGGGGGGGCGTTGCTCGTGCACCGGTTCGCCTTGACCGGCAGCACGTTTCATCTTGAGGCCCTTTAAGAGCACCCCGCCGCCGTCCCGCTCCACGGGTATTTCTTGGAACACGCCGCCACCATCCACGAAGAGCATGCGTGCGAACCACGTCCTAAGCCATCGCGTGCCGCATCGTCTGGTCGTTTGGGGCCAGGTGGAGGCGCAGAGGCGGGCGAAGAAAGCGGCCCAGACCGCCGCGGACTGCGCCCTCCGCGACCTGTCGACCGCAAGGAGACTGATATCGGGCTTCGAGGAGGAAAAGTCGAGGTAGGCAAATCATCATCACGCTGACTTTTTTTTTGGTCGCTCGAAGAACAGGTCTTAAGTTTTTTACGCACCTGAGTGCTGACGTTGAGACATACTGTATCGGCGCCGCAAAAGGGTTCGGCGACAAGAACCCCCTTTTTTTTCTCTTGACAAGTAGTCTCAGCAGGCAGAGGGCGCGCTCGACTATTTTTTTTTCTTTTTCTGAACCATGGTGCCCGTTCCTTTCGTCAAAATACCCGGACACCGAATGGTAAGGGGAAGTTGCTCATGGGAGGAGGGGACGACCCCCCCTCAACCCCTCTTCCCGTGCCCTACTCTGTAGAAAAGCCTCTGCGGCAACGTTTTCTCTGATCTCTTGGGCCTCATTTTGTTTTGCACTCCACATCATCTTCTTGTCTGTGTCTCCTTCCCGTACAACTCCGTACCTCGCCGCTACTTACTGCCGCCGCCGCCAACGTTTCAGAATCTCGGGCAACGCGGCCGCCCTGAACGCCCGCCTGTCGACGATTACCGAGGAGGCGTCTGCGGCGAAGGCCGGCCTGCGGCTTCTCGTGAGGGCCTGCTTGCCGCTGCTAGAGCGCTGCCGCCTGCTGGCGGAGCACAAGCGGCTGCTGGCGAAGTGGCACGGCTCTTCGGCAGCGGCGGCGGCAGATGCGGCGGCGGCGGCGGCGAGAAGAGGAGGCGGCGACGTGTTAGGCGCGGCGGCACGACGACCAGGAGCGGGAGGTCGGGGGGGTGGGGTTGGGGGGGACGCAACATCGGCGGAAGCGGCAGCAGCAGCAGCAGCGGCTGGTTCCCAGCAGCCGACCACGGTGCTGATGATCGACGGACTGAGGTCTTTGGTCGACGCGCTCAGACAGGACGGCGACGAAGAGGAAGGTCAGGCCGGGGGAGGGCTCGGGTCCAATAACGGGCGAGGGGGCTCCCCCGCGCCGGCTTCGCGTACGCACGGCACTCCGCGGAGGCCGGGGTCATGCGAAGGCGGTGGCGGTTGCGGTGAGGTCGGAGACATGGCAGGGAACGTTCATTACCACCAGAACCACGACAAGCGGCAGCAGCGGCGGCCTCTTGTGTCCCTTCGCGCGACCTGCATCGCCGCCGTGGCCGTTCAGCGACTGGTGCGGCTGGCCGCGTGCCGAGCGTCGCGGAGAGAGGCTGCGCGGGCGGCGGCGGCAGCAACCTCCGACAGCAGTCAACCCGACCCGCCACGGCCACCAACAGCAGCAGGTGGTCGCCCGAGTCCATCGCCACACGGGGACGCCGGCATCCGTGAGGACATCATCCCGCTGGGGCCGCGGGGGTCAGGCGGCGGCAGCAGCGGCGGCGGCGTGCCCATGCTCCTCGATACCCAGGTCGTCTCGCCCGCCTCGATGTCGCTCGCGTTGATGTCCCTCCTCGCTGACCTCAGCAAGGACGGTACCGGGGACCCGAGTCAGGCAGGCTGCGTGGCTTGCCGAAGTGACGGTGGTGGCGGCGGCGGTGGTGGCAGCGGCGATGGAGAGCGGTGTATGGGGCTCCTGGGCGCGCTGGTCGTCGTTGACGCCGGAAACGTCTCCTCCGCCAGCAGCGGCGGCAGCGGCGCCGCCGCCGCCGCCGCAGGAGAATGGTTCACAAGAGGAGACAAAGGGACGGCGGTGGTGACGGGTGCGGCGAGAGACGCCGCTGGCCGGACGTCGTTACTGCAGGTGCTTGCGGGAGGGCAGGTCGGCCACTGGCGGCGAGTTGAGAAGCGAGGCTTAGTTCCTTGGGCTGGTAGCGGCGGTGGTAGCGGGAGCGATCCCCGCCTGCTGGGTGGTGCGTCTCGAGTGGTGGCTAGCCGATGCGCAAGGTACGATTGTTGGTGTGTCGTTCTGGAACGAGAATGAGATTTATCTACAATATCCCCTGAGGGGCAAATAGGTATTGTGGCCTATACGGCACGGTCTTCGTTGCTTCGTGTCGTAGATGTGAAGATGGGATGGAAAGACCCGCCCGCCCCCCGGCCTATAGGGAAAGTTTTTGAGCCACCTTTGGCGAAGTGGGAAGGAACGATTGGCCACATTGGTGAAGTCATCGGTCCTTTGGGAACAACGCTCCGTCCTCTCGAGGACGAGCGTGCGGGTCAATGGCCTCACAAATTATCAGTAGGCATGCAAAAACACGAGTACACCTACCGCCTGAACGACACGCAGGCATCACGGACCAGAGGTTTGGAAGGCTCGGCAGGAGCGCGCCGCGGCCGAGGAGGCATGTTCGCTCTTGGGGGCCACGCGGAGGGGAACGGCCGCGCTCGCGCGACTGGCCGGGGAGGCCGAGCGCCGGTTGCTGGAGAGCGAGGCTGGCAGGCTGCAGGCGAAGGCAGAGGTGAGTCTATTTCATAGGTAGGTTGGTGCCGTGTGACATGCGAGACTTTTGTAAAGGGTTGTATGAATACGCATACAAAGTTTCCCCGAGGTTACATCTGTCGAGAGGATGGTTCTCCCCTCGTTTTATAGAGGAGCAGAAAGATGTTAAATTTCCCACGTTCTCTCACTGCTCCTGCTTCGTCGGGTCCACTTATGTCTTGCTGCTTCCTACGCGCACGTGAAAATAATTAAGGGAGAACGACACAACAGGGTATACCCTGGTCGAAAAGCGACACACCTGGGTACACAGTCATCAACAGCAGTAAATGCACTCATATGATTGGTCAGCGCCCTAGTCCACCCCGGCGCACCCGAAAAGGCGCAGGGTATACCCTGCCGTGACTACTTTTCTCAAAAACTGTACCTGACGCTACTGGTCCCTGTCGGAGACAGAGGCCGGTACACTTGTATTCTCCCACTGCCAAGGGTGGCTATTTCCTTTCGTGAGATGCAACGAGGAGAGGAAGGTAGAAAAAGAGTGACCAGAGGGTCGAGAGAGGAGAGCCGGAGGCTCCTCATCTCTTCCCTCGGCAATCGGCCATGGGCTTCGGAAGAGACGAATCTCCTCGGTGTTTTACTGGCCACTTCTCCCGATGGCAAGTTACCCCGAGGCATCATATCTTCCCGCACTTGGTATGTGCACAAATTGTTGGTTATATATTCCGACAGGTGTCCTCCACATGCCCTGTTTTCGGAAATGTACCCTGAACTGACGGGAAATGAGACCCTTTCATCATCAATCATTTCCCCCGCAGGATTCTTCCCAAATCATTTTCCCCTCCAACCATGGGATACCAAACGGCGAATCTTCCCGCCCAATAACAACCATGGCAACGGGGCAGGAATCAGTTTCCGCCCCTGCGAAACACCACCAACCGTCAACTCTTCCGCTCTAAGTCAACAACGGCCGGGCAATACCCCAGCGCAACTGTTCCGTTTGGAAACATGCACACACGCGTACAATACCTCTTGGACCACTGCTTGCTGCAGTCTATATGCGAGACGCACGGGTCACGCTATGAAAGCGAGACCGATCCAGCATGGTTGGCATGCATTTATATGCATACATGTGCCAATGTGTGGCGCTGTGCTGAGCCGGCGGAGGGGAGAGGCAGCACCAGCACACACAGACACGCCCTTGACATCAATCATGGAAGGAGGAGCGAGCGGCAGCGCAGGAGCGGCGGCGGCGGCGGCGGGGTTGTCCACCACTGTAGTGCCCGTTACCGCAGGGCAGATATTCTCCAGCCGCAATGCCGCGAAGGTCGCCGTAGCCGCTGAGCTTGCTGCCACCGGCCGTTCCATGAAGAATGGAAAGGGTGCCGGCAGTCGGCAAATTCACCTGGTGTGCAAGACTTGCACAAGTTGGGTTGTAAGGGGCTGCCAACAGAAGGGCGGTGATTTCAAGATCACCAAGGTAGAGGGCTTGCACGTCGACTGTGCTGGGGGCGGGCGGACGAGCTCCGCGGTCGTACAACCCCTGGTGGACCAGTTGGTTAGGGCCAACCCCAAGATCGCCGGTCCCGCGATCAAGAGGACCCTGAAGGCCATGGGATTTTCCGTCTCCGACCGGCAATCTCAACGCGCGAAGANGTGCAAGACTTGCACAAGTTGGGTTGTAAGGGGCTGCCAACAGAAGGGCGGTGATTTCAAGATCACCAAGGTAGAGGGCTTGCACGTCGACTGTGCTGGGGGCGGGCGGACGAGCTCCGCAGTCGTACAACCCCTGGTGGACCAGTTGGTGAGGGCCAACCCCAAGATCGCCGGTACCGCGATCAAGAGAACCCTAAAGACCGTGNGCCATGGGATTTTCCGTCTCCGACCGGCAATCTCAACGCGCGAAGAAGCACATCGCGACCGCTTCTAAGGAGGATGAAGCGGCTGTCATTTCGCGTCTTCCATCCCTTTTCGAAGGGATCGAGCGCGATTGCCCGAATTCGGTTGCCACCGTCGAGGTAAGAGTTGGATCGGGGCCCTTTTGGTCAATGTGCACGTGATGCAGCAGTGCAAGGTTGGGCAATGACTCTAGACAACAGCAGCACCACATGTACCGTAGCATGTCGTAGATGTGCTGTCGTCACGTTCCGTAGGCTCTGTGCACAACTGTAGGTTGCCCTCGCTTCTTACTCGTCTCCATCCAAATGATCCATCCCCGCACACGAGCCTGGTCCGGTGAGAACCCGGCGTGCTCCGTCCCGGCTTTGTAGGGATGCGAGGTCAATNGTAGGTTCCATCGCTTCTTACTTCGTCTCCATCCAAATGATCCATCCCCGCACACGATGTGTGAGCAACGTGCAGCCCAGTGTGTCGTTCGGGTGCTGACCTTCCTGTGGTTATTATCCCGGGTGCACGCGTTTTCCCTTTTTAGGTGAGTCCCGACAACCGGTACGTCAGGAGCTTCTTGATGCTGGGCAAGGCCGCCTACGTCGCCGCGCACAGCGTCCCCAAGGCGAGTGAAACTCTCTCGTGATTCTCGTGCAGACGTTGCTGGCTTTTCATTTTCGCTGAGGTTTACCAATTGCTATTGGGTATGTAGTCAAGCCGTGGAGAGCGCCATTGGCCAGTGAAAGCCGTGGAGAGCCACTGAAAAAGTCACGAACAATACATTGGTCACGTCGATGCGCTCTTAGGTGGAATGGTACCACACAGCATCTCTGAACCCTGTACATGATTTGTTGTCGATGAATGAACTCGCGGGAGATACAAGCGGTGTTGTTCTCAAACCCGCAGCGAGGTTTGCGCAGGCACAAATGATTTTCATTTTCAGGTAACAATCGAGTGCGCCCTGGCGTTCCAGCCACACAATATCGAGCTCACGACCAGCCATGTCTCGAGCTCACCGGCAAAGTCGTGTACTATGCATATGTATTGTAACGCACCTCTGAGGACAATTGAGGCTCATACCAAGTGGTCCGAGGAAGGCCATTAGCGATTGCTCCTCAGCTTCACACTTGAGCCCCGGGTTGAAGTTTGTGTTTTGATTGGCGCGCCATGTCGCGTGACGAAATGGGGTAAAGTGTTCACCATGGCGACAGCAGTCCCCCCATTTGTTCGTGGTAAGGCGTGTACTACGTGTGTGTACTCTCTCTAAGAACATGGGGCCGAACAGTTGCACCACGGAGATCCGGTGGAAGTTTGAAGTGGTGGAGTTTAACTGCAACAGCAGTAATGGATAATCGACTACTACCTGCTTTTTATCTCGAACGGGCAATATCTCTGTGTTCGAGTGTATTTCTTCCCTCGGCACTTTTCCCTTTTCAACAAAAATGCTGCTGCTCGTGACCGTAGTACCTCCAACACCACGGCAGTGCTGTGACCGACATTGCTGTGGTTGCATGTACCTCATCTAGCGTGTTCCCGATGTTGTTCAAACGAGCAGTGGCTGGTTTAACGGTAAACACCATCCGTGCGCGGAACGGTGGGCAAGGACTGCTGTTCCCTTGAAAATTAATATCATTTGAAAGAACCAACAGGCCGTCCCGACCGTGCCCACTCACCACTCGCTTCATTTCTGTTTGCCCTCAAACAGGGCCGTGTGTGTCCTTATGTGTTTTAGGGTGAGAATACAGATTCGCACAACAGGAGCAGTACAGAAAGCAGCGTACCGGCTGCAGAAAAAGGCTTTCCTACTACCCTTGGCGGCATCTCGCAGTTCACCTGTTTGCTAGCTCTCATTCTTACCGTTGTGGTAATTTTCTACCGTCCCTTTGCACGAATCCGAGACTACGTCGTATGATGGCATGTTGCTCCAGCTCTCGGCCTTCTCTCGCCCGTCTTCGATTACAGCGCATTTCTGGTACGGTACTTGTCGACATTGCTTCGCAGGTTGATGGGCGCCCGCGTCCCAAACAGTTGATGATGGGATTCAGAGAGGGCGACCCCAAATAACCTGTCGGCAGCAACGCAAGTAGGGCCTTACGAGACCTCCGAGCACTTCGAAACGTTTGACCTTTGCCCTTACGAAATACCCAATTCTCCGCCCCTGCCGTCCTGAACAGATGGTGGCCATGGACGCTGGCCACCTCAGGGATTCGTGGAAGGGAGTCATGTACGCCCTCTGCATGCACAACAGCAACAACAAGATCATTCACGTCAGCACTGTACTCGCAGACAAGGAGAACGCGACCAACTACAAGTTCCTGCTCCAGCAGACCTGCCGGAACGAGCACATGCAGCGACTTCTTTCGTCCGGCGAGGTGACGTTCTACATCGACGGTCACAAAGGATCACCGGCGGCCCTCAGGCCGGTCCTACCGCAAGCACCATGGCGTGCGTGCGTGAGGCACCTCGTCACCAACAAAAACATGAAGGCAATGGGACACGTGAGTAGAAATTGGGGAATGGTGTCCTTTGTTTTGGGTCTTTCCAAATGAAATGATTAAGAGTTTAGCTGCACGTCGTCGCGCATCGCAACCTCTAGAAATATGTGTAGAGTATCGGACAGCCAAAAGCACATTTCGCTGGTGGTGGAGGCCAGGTGCACAAGATGAGGCACTCGCCCAACTAGAAAACTTGACCATCACCCCCCAAGAGAGCCGGAAAGTTCTTTTTTGCTACAATATTGCCTCCTCGTTGGAATTTTAGCCCATTTCTCGCAAACCGCATGTACCCTGTATTGGGGGACACGTCGTGTGCTGCTTGTGACGACGCTCCACGCGTAGTTTGAGCGGATCACGTGTTAGGGTGTGAGGGATGGTGCAGTCTGTTGCACCGCAGCTTCTTTGCATCGCGCAAAGGGCCCCAAAACTGTATGTACGACTCTCGGCCCGCCTCCGCGCCCCCCCCCCCCAAAAAACGCCCATGACTAAATTGTGCTAGAAAAAGTTCCCGCCCATTCTTTTGCACCCTTGTAGGAGAAGGTAACTCATGTTGCGTGCGTGGGAGTATGGATGTGCGACGGTCGTTGGGCCACAGATGTTGCGTTGTGAGTGATGGACCTCCTGTCAAACAAATGTCGGAAGAACGTCTCCCCAGCACTTGTTTTTCTGTGCCCGTTCCATCTTTTCTGGCGCCAGCAGACGCACCTCTCGGTGAACATACATGTTCAGCTCATCAGCTGAGGTCACACACAACTCTTCCTTGCCCCTTTCGTTATGGTTTCTCCACCCCGATTTTCTCTGTTTCGTGCTGCAAAGCAGGCCTATTCAGACGCGGTTTACCGAGCGGCGGTGATGCCTACCAGGGCCCTGTTCGAGGAGGCAATTGAGCCAGTCAAGAAAGGACTTCCCGCCCAACTACGACCTCCTCATGAAAAACGACCTTAAGATCTGGACACACCATGCCACCCCCAGCAACCTGGTCAACCTGAAGATGTGCACCTCCAACTCTGCGAGGTCCAACATTGCCGCGGTCGGCCACCAGGTTGGTGAACGAAAGGGGTGGATGTGTTTTGAAGGCTTTGCGGGTAAATCGACGCACTATACCCTTCCAAGAGGAACGTTTCTCATTGGTTCTCATAGATGGTGCGTCAGGTTGTCCTTTCGCTCAGCGTCAAGCGGCAGATGTCGGTTCCCGTGTGGGCGTACACAGCCAGCGTTTTGTGAAGCCCCCGACAGTCGACCACTGTAGTTCCGAGTTTTCTCTGTTGACATTCCCATCGCTTTTTCTCATGTATGCGTGTTACCTTGTGTCGTGAATGTTGGTGGTAATCGAAGTGGTATTTAGTAGGTGCTACGTTTTTCAGTGGGTAGATCCAACATGAAAAAATCCAAGATAGAGTGACTCGGTACCATCCCTCACTGCTATGCATCCGCATAAACAAGACTTGGTAGATGGGTGCATTTCTCTTTCCCATCCGGAGAATATCGTAGCCTCTCCCATGTCACCCGTTGGTCAGCCTGTCAGCGGGTCCATGCTGAACGTGAAGACACATGTACATTCTCACCCAATTTTATTGGCAGGAATCCCGCCGTCCCGATTCTTCAACGGCCGTTTGTCCGCGTGCTGTGATTTACTTCTCTCCGCACCGGTGTGTGCGGCCAACAGCTCTTTACGCTCTTCCTTTTCGAGTCGTCAGCGTCTGAAGCGTTGATGTGTCCCTCTTCCGTTGTTGACGTTTGTTGCTCGCAGAAACGGGAAATGGACCCTCATCATTTCCACATCGAGATTGCGGAGAAAACTGCGGAGCAACTCGCGACGAATGCCGAACTGAAGAAGGACTGCCCTGCCATCCTCGTTCCATTCGCGGCCAAGTTCGTGGAGGACGAGAGGTTGCTCAGTACTGGGGCACCCACGCCTGGTGCGTGCCTTGTTCTTCCTCCGTTCATTCCTCGGCTGCGTGGTCGGTTGGGTGTACAGTACGAGGCCGTCGGTTGGGTGATCCACCCGTGCTCTCTCTTTTTGAGTCCAATGATTTATTCGTCCGTTTTGGCTGTCGTTTTGTGTGAGGTGCACTCTTACACGACCAGAGAATGATACCTGTCTTTCGTCGACGGCACAAACACAGTTTTCGTCTGCTTTGTTCCCTTCCTTCTTTGGTTCTTCATGGCGTTGGCCTCACTCGTCGGCAGCAAGCACGTCAAAAGCATGGGCTTGGGCACCCACCTTGTTCAGGAGCACGGCAAGAGCCAGTACGGCAACAGAGTGACGATCGTGCTGCCAGACACGGAAGGGAAGGGTGGCCGTGTCGAGTGCACCTGCAGCGTCCCTACCAGGTTCCACTTGCTGTGCCATGACGCCCTCGCGGTGTTGAAATGTAAGCCTCCTCCATCGGGTTGAAAACATGGATCGCACTTAATTATTGGGTTGCAGTCATGCTTCGGCTTGGTGTCCTCTGTTGGTCGTCTGTGGTCCGTGTGTTCATTCTGTTTCTGTTATTCTCGCAGCTCACGTGCAATGTGCGACCTCATACAATCTACAACGTAGATCCTCGTATCTCGTCTCTGTGTTTTCCTCTGGTCATCTGTCGCTCGAAGTTGTTCCTTCTTTTGCCTATGGCACAAGCTCACCGTTGGCTGTGAACGAAGTTCTCGTAGAATGAAGTGGGATTCCGTCTACCTGTCCATGCCGTGCATGTGTCCTAGCTCTGTATCATCTTCGTATTTCGTAGCCACGTGTGAAGTCGCACACCCGAAGGGAGCTTCTTAGCACCCACCCCTTCTCGATGAATCACCATGAACGTAGGCAGAGGTTGATGAACGTGTTACCACTGCTCGGGAGGAGTGTGAGCTCTTGGACAAACATCCCCTCGTTGGTATTTTTCAATGATGCTTTGCTTGAAGCACGGGATTAATGCCTTGCCGAAAACACGTTGATGCCTCGGATGTTAACTAAAGTGAGCTCGAGGATAAGACAACAAAAAACGAAGATGGATGAAAAACAGCCCCGGCTTTCACACAACCTAGCGGACACATTTCGTGGTGATCGGGCTCCTCGGTCGGTTTGTGTGTTTGCCAATATCCGTAGCACCGGTCACATATCAGTGTCCGGCAGCATGAGTACCCTTCTAACGGCCATGTTCTGTGAAGGGAACCCACGTGGAGGCGTCGTAGGGAAGGCTAGGCTATTTTGGGCATCCATGACACGGTGGCACGGTAGCTTTTGACGAGAAACCCAAGGTACCTTCGTTCCTGCTTTGAATGCAGTCCGTTTTGACTCCGTCCGCGTTTTGCTTGTTCTATCATGGCCCTTCTACCATAGTCTTTGTGTCCACTACTCCTCGCAAATGTTCTCACTGTTTCTTTTGAGCCAGATCTCTATTCCTTCGGGGTTTCGTGGCTGGAAGGGCAGGGTTCTCTTCCAGGCCGTCTCTTCCTTCTTGGTTCATTGCATGCTTTCGTGCTACTTTCTTTGGAGTGGGATCGTTTCGGTCTTACGTTCGCACCCGGGAGGACTTGGCGCGGGCAATAGCGGGATAAGGGATGCTGACACAACAAAGAAAACCAAAAATCCAATGCTCGAGTACAATTGATTGACCGTTCTTTCACGACTCTTGGCCCAATCCCCCTCTTCCCGGTGCCGTGACAGCAATCGACAGGCTTGGCTGCACGAGGGCGGTTGCTGATAGCGGGTACACCCTTGCTTCCTACAGGGCGCTCCACAGCCACCCCGACTATCCCGTCGTACTTCCGATCTGGTCAGAGATTTCGAAGGGCGACCTCCTGCCCCCGCGGCAGGTGACCCGGCAAGCTGGTGCTCCGAAGAAGAACCTTGGCCCCCGGCAGCGTTCCCGATTCCCTGGTCGCAACGACAACTGCCAGCGCGGACGCGGCAACGTAGCCCAAGACGGAGGTGGTCGCGGCGGCGGGCGTGCCGCCGGGGGAGGGGGTGGTCGTGGCGGGGGCGGCAACTCTCAGCCCGTCCCGGTACATGGGATGGACAGTGTTTGCAGCCACGTGGGAGACCTCAACGTCGGAGGTTCCGCGGGCGAGCGACCTACCGGGAGGTTGTGGGGGGGGGGCTTGCGGTTCAGCATTACGGCTCACAAGACGCTTCCGGCCGCGACCACGCAGCGGGGGCGGGGGCCGGGTGAAGCGCTACGCTGAGTCAGTCCCAAGGCTCCATCGACCTGTCGTAGCTCAAGTGGTTCGNTCTCAGCCCGTCCCGGTACATGGGATGGACAGTGTTTGCAGCCACGTGGGAGACCTCAACGTCGGAGGTTCCGCGGGCGAGCGACCTACCGGGAGGTTGTGGGGGGGGCTCGCGGTTCAGCGCTACGGCTCGCAAGACGCTTCCGGCAACGACCACGCAGCGGGGGCGGGGGCCGGGTGAAGCGCTACGCTGAGTCAGTCCCAAGGCTCCATCGACCTGTCGTAGCTCAAGTGGTTCGACTCGTCCTTTTGAACTTGGGCCTTTGAATTTCTTCGTCGCACGTTGTCGGAGTCACATACGCCGCTGTGGTCCGTGAATGACAGGGTGCAAGAGGTCGAATGTGTTTGCAACTTTGCGTAGAGCACCCGCGACAGCGGGGCGCGTGTTGTCGCGCTTATTTCCGCTTGCCATCTTCCAAAATGTCATGCACAACAGACGGAGATGAACAGCGAAATTCGACAACCACGCACGCACATGACTTGGGAGGGAAAGATCGACTCGGCGTGAAAAATGGGCAGAACCGTCGAGCCCCAAGCGGAAGCAGTTGTCAACGACGGTTGTCGTCAGACATGCAGACGCACGTACCTCCAAACCGCTCCTCACGATTACCGCGACGAAGAGCGTGCGGAAGTGGCCCTTCACCTCAACAGATAGATTCGCAACCGAACAACTAATCCGCCGTAAACGTCCGTAACCCAAAGGTGTTCTTGTCAATGGGGGGGGGGGGGGGGGGGNGGGGGGGGGGGGGGGAGTGCGCCGTTTAGAAACACAGTGCGCAAGCGTTGCACGTGCCCCCAGACAGAGTTGGCGGTCCTTGTCTTCACCGATAAACGGTGATGTACGCAGCGAAAATAGGTTGGGCCACAACCTAAACATTTTGAACGCCATGCATTTACTGTGTTCTACTGTACGATGGCAACAGTACGTGCGAAGAGTCTACTACAGTACCACACCGCTAAAAAAAGGTGTGCTTGGTGTTACATCGGCAAGCAAACGACATGTATCTGCAGCATTCAACAATGGGTCATTGTGCACATTTTGATGGCTTTTGGTGCGTGCGTGCACACAGAATGCTGCACCACCTTCTGGCCTCATGTCGCATACCTCTACTTGATGATTGATGATTC